GCCCCAGCGCCCCGTGCACGCCGCGACTCGCGGATCCTCCTGCGCGCTCGAGAGTGCTGCTGCCCGCGGCCTTGCAAATCCGCCTGCGAGCTCGAGAGTGCTGCTCATCCCCGCGCCCATGCACATCACCTCCGGCAAGCTCGTGAATCTTGCGGAGAGCTCGAGAGTGTCTTTTTAATTGTGCATTTTTCTAGTGTGTGTTTTGGCTAGAGTATAAATATTTTTCTTACTTTGCATTTTGAGGATCCATCACTCATTATTTCATTTTTCCCTTTTTGGGAACTTAGCTTATGTTTTGTTTTGCTCTCTAGACTAGGAGCTTATGCTATTTTCTGGAAGATTTTCCGGCGACTTTGGTTTCTTTCAAGTTTCGAGCTTTTGACTCCGTTTTTCATCGTCTACGCAATGGAAGGATGAGTATTTAGTTTTAAAGCTCTTTACTTCAATCTTTGCCTCGTTTTTACTTATAATGTTTATTAGGGTAAATTTGAGTTTGATTGATGATGGAGGGAAAATCAAGACTTGATTGCTTGCTTGCTTGAGTAGTATAGTGATTAATTGCTTGTCGATCTTGTTTAAGGGTTAAGACCCAATTAGGGCTTAATCACTTAGGGTTAGACGACTAGAGTTAGCAATCTAATGCTCATAGCTCGTTTATTCCTTATATCGATTGATTATCATCTCGTTGTGGTTATGGCATGAGACTCCGATGATCTAGTTTGCTACTTGCTCGTGATTTGATAGTGCTCTTAGCTCATTGCTTGCTCGTTTTGTGTTAATCACCCTCCAATCAATTGCTTAGAATATTTAGGACTTTATTTTCTCTTTTTGTGATTTGGACAATCAACTAGTAAGTGAAGCTCCGAATAGCCTTCCCTCGAGATCGACCCGAGTCGGGTAACTCGATTATCCATTGCCCACCAAATCTTTACTAAACACTAAGTCTAAGTCGTTTTCTCTCATATCTGCATCAATCCGTAGTCGAGCCCTCGACAGTGCTACCCTATTTGTTGATGCTGCTGGCTTTCCTTACTTCCTCTCCCCGGTAACTTCACTACCCGTAGTTAGACTGCCGCTGCGCAACGGGTGCCATTAAGAACTATGGAGCAATAACCTATGGAACAATAACGCACTTGAGAACAGGGGGTCAAAGATACCTAGTTCTTACAATTCTTCGAGGTCTCGAAGGGGGATCGTTTCTCTATTTGAGGACTCGTTGTAGTTGAAGACGAGATGGATCTGCACAGGACCTCAACGCTTGCTGGCGAGAGATCGGGCGCACAGCTAAACTCCACGGGATGTGGGCTTCTGGTATCGAGCATGCAACCCACGTTATGTTGATTTTAAATGCATCATATTGATCAAACATAGCCTAAATTCTTAAAATATTGGACTCAGATTTGCAATATTGTCATCAAATTTACTAATCTTAAAAATCATTCTATATTTAATTTACTACCATAATACTAAACTAATACCGTATTTTCATAGCATATTATCGTTAAAAATTAATCTCGAATAAGTTTGTTTAATTGACTATAAAATATATTGTTAAATAAAAAATTAGAAAATTTTGTTATTTTTAAATATATACATATATTTTACTAATAAATTTTATTTTCTAAATTAAATCTATCATTCGAATAGTCTTTTAGTATGTCTTGAAAGATCACGTATCGATAAATACCGCATCAGTGATTATGAGACAACATGAAAAGTTACGTATCAACATAAATACTACATGATTGAGGTCCAAAAAATTTCATCCACACCTCTATCACTATGTATAACAAAAACTAATTTGTATTTTTTATGGTTAAGATTGTCTACCTCCCCATCCTGCTCGCAGGTTCATTAATTTCATGGTTCTCGTCTTTGATCATGGTATGCTCGATCAATTCATACAAGTCTTCATCCTAATCGTTTTTCATCAGGTTCTTCCGGTTGTTGATCTAGGCCCGACCTACGATCCTCCGCTTTATTGCTTTTGAGATTTAAGATGTTGAAAACCTCCTTCATGTGGTTCTGGTAAACGTTCACATGATGACCTTTCCAGGAGTTTCCACCTGCTCGAGAGCAGTCAGCATTAGGAGTTCCGGATAGAATTGGATTTAACCGTATGCTATTGAATCGCTTAATCCCAAGAGCGTTCATATTGAACAATCGAGAATCAAATCTAAGAGCGAAAGCGTACCTGATGGATTCATGTTGATTGATTGCTTTAGAAGAGTTGAGATTTGGGATCTGGAGAATTTTCAAAAGGTCGTGAAGTCGTATTCTCTCCTCTCTTCGGACGTGTGAAGACAAAATAACTGAGTAGAAAGAGTGGGGAGTACGAACAGTTCTTCTTATTTATCTTAATGAAGAATTCCAAAAGACCCCCTTGTATTTATCACGGCTTTTGGGGTAATTATTTTGATCCAAATTATTTGCTATTTAGGTCCTTAAGTTTAATATTATTATTTGTTACGTCACCAAATAATAATATTACAGGGTGTACACATTTAATCGTTCTACAATCTAAATTAAGTTCCTTAGCTAATGTACAATAATTTGATCACTTAGTTTGGCTAAACAATATAATGACCCAATGTAGCAATTACACGTAATTAATCCCAAAATAGATCTAACAATCTCTCAATGGATTAAATATGAGTCTTGATGATACATTATACCTTATGAGTTCAAAATATGGTCATTATTACAGAACTTGAACAATCTGGTCCATTAGTCACAACAATATAGGACTATAGTAGTTTTTGCCATATAGACACAGCTAAATTATCAATAATATATCACGATGATTAAATGACATAGATCAAACTGTGGAACATGTGACATGAAAATTACATAAATGTGATCAACGCATATCAATTTTCAACTAGTCCAAACTTAATGAGATTGTTAAGTACCAAAGCATAATGTACAAAGGGTCGTGAACCAAAACTTTATTTCTAATCAGAATAAGTACTTTAATATCATCGAATAAGAATGACAACACATGTAGCAAATCCTCCCACTAGAGTGAAGCTTCCTGAATATGTCACACAACCATATGAAGTGAAGTACCATAGGTGTTACACCTTTAGTTAGAGGATCTGCTAATATTGATTTTTTCCCTAACTGTTCGATGGAAATTTGACCACTTTGTACCCCCTCCTTCACAGCTAGGAACTTAATGTCAATATGTTTTGACTTAGATGAGCTCCTATTGTTGTTGGAGTACAGAGTACAGAATGACTGATTTATTGTTACAAAAGATCTTGATAGGTCTTTCAACCTCCGAAATGATTCGCAGCCTTGTGACAAAGTTCCTTAACAGAATTCTGTAGCGTGATGCCTCAAAACACGCCACAAACTCAGCTTCCATAGTGGAAGTGGTAACAAGTGTTTGTTTAGCACTATGCCAGAAAATGACACCATCAGCCAACATAAACAAGTACCCAGACGTAGATTTCCTACGGTCTTGGCACCCAGCAAAATCGGAGTCAGAATATCCAACGATCTCCAAATGGTCCGATTTCTTATATGTGAGCATATAATCCTTAGTTCTCTTAAGGTATCTCATCATCCTTTTGGCTGCTTTCCAGTGATCCAATCCAGGATTATTAAGGCATCTACCTAACATACCAACTATATACACAATATCCAGACGCGTACATACTTGAGCATACATTAGGCACCCAACCGCCAAGGCGTAAGGGACCTTTTGTATTTCATGGATTTATAAATTTTCCTTTGGGCATTGACTTAGGCTAAATTTGTAATGTAGGGAAAGCGTACGAGTGGGAATGATAAAGAGTAAACGAGATACTCTCTCGTAAAACTCACAAGACTCACAATATCAATTCATCTTTTATTCATAATCAACTGATTAAAATAAACTAGAAGGAGTCCATTATATAAGGCCCTAATCATAAACCTAACTTAATCACCAAGAAAGCTAAACCTAACTTATTCTCTAAGACACTTATTAAATAATAATAATAATAATAATAATAATAATAATAATAATAATAATAATAATAATCTATACTAATCTACACCATTCTCCCCCGGTTCGGAAGGCTTCGCCCTCGAAGCCGATGCGCACCCGTGTTCGGCGTGTGGTGTCGAACCCATGGTAGAAAACTCCGTCGTTTTTCCCGGTCGAACACGAAGGTTGAATGTCGCACCTCCACGGTAACACCTCCTTGAAATTCATGGAAAGACATATATGCAGTAATTTTGAAGTCACCGTGGGGATCAGAAAATATCATTTGTTTGCAAGGCCGCAACAAATTCTCGTGGAAGAAAAGCTCGGGCCTGCACAACAGAAGAACTACCAAATCATCCAACAGCTTAATTTCGATACCCGAAAGAGATGTAATTCCCCTAGCCTCGGAGGCTCTTCATCGAAAATTGGCAGACCGTCGTAGAGACCGTCCACTTTGCCGGTAAGACGCTCCTCGACCTCCTCGGATCCTTCATCAAACATAGGCGGACCATCGTACAATGGCCCGTCAACTAGCTCTTCGTCGAATTCGGGGATGTCTACACGAAACGGGCCCTCCCATCGACCATAATTACGATCAAATTCCCAATCGCGTCGGGCACGATATCCGCCGACGATGGTAGCTTCCTCGCGCTTGCCTCTGTCATCGCGTTGATCGTCGCCGTCCAAGAAGACCGGGCCCCGCCGCCGCATGTCACGGCCGCCGTATGCAGCGAAGGGGTCAGCCTCGACGTGCGGGGGTGGAAAATCGTCGAAGGAATTCACCTCCGAGACTGTCTCCTCGCCGTCTTCGTCGCCGGACGGTGGTTGTGGAGATCTCCAGCGGGGCGCCCCACCTGGACCACGACCTCCAAAGTCCTCCGCGATTTCCCCTGCACATGCCCTGGTTGCAGCGTCACGGTACGTTTGCTTGTCCCGAACCATGGTACGGATAGTTAGATGTGTGTTCCCGATCTCCGCAGACAGATCTGCAATCTGACGACCCATCGTATCGAGCTGGCGGCCAAACCACTTGGTCCGGCGGCTCAGGTTGTAGATGGCGGCGGCACGCCTGTCGTTTGCAGCATCTTGTCTTCGCGACAGCATCGTGAATCGTGCTGACTTCTGATACCAGCTGATGTAGGGGAAGCGTACGAGTAGGAAGGATAAAACGCAATACTCTCTCGATAAAACACACAATCACTTCATATTTTTATTAATAATCAACTGATTAAAATAAACTAGAGGGAGTCCATTATATAAGGCCCCTAATTCTAAACCTAACTTAATCACCAAGAAAGCTAAACCTAACTTATTCTCTAAGACACTTATTAAATAATAATAATAATAATAATAATAATAATAATAATAA